ATTCCGACTTCCAAGAAAGCGAGCATTTTTAAGAAAAAGTGTCACAGGTGGGGAAGGTCATATTTGTCGTCTTCAGAGGATAAATACCAAGGTTTATAATCTGTATGTCTGGGCCAATTTAACCTGTCGTGTTCGTACAAGAGATTAAGGCACTCTATCAACGAAGTAGCAAGACCGCGCTGGAGAAGGTGATTACGTCACACGTGGTACAAGACGTCTCAGAGTGCCTTTAAGCGCTTGAAAGTTTAAGGATTGAAATATGTTATTTTTCGGTTTAACTGACCTTTGTTTGGCATCTTCGTAACTGAGAATCTGTCGATAAACGTAAAAGAAACGTTTTTAACAAGGCCTGGGTCAAAGGCATTTACAAGTAAAAATAATTTATTAGTTACATTTCTGAAGGCATAAATGGCAATAGAACCAAATTTAGCACACAGTGAGGTTTTAACGTCATAAATATTTTAAAGTAGAATTGTTGCTTCTGACAGGTCACGTGACATGCCACGAGATGTTAAGCGGAAAATAGCTATTATTTGAGGAATTGGTGGCGGTTTTTATTACTATCATCCATCAAACACGCGTTTTAGATGCAGGTCAACTGTGTCCATCCTCTCACGTTTGGAATGAACGCCCCTCTTTTCGCATCGAAAACGCTCAGTTATTGATCAATAGAATGAAAATTCGCCACCAATTCGTCGATTTACCAAATTGTATCAAAATGATCACGAGACAGGTCACGTGATCAAAATAATATGTTAAGGCAGGGCAGGAAGCCGTGTTTTATAATCAGGGAAAATTCCAGCCTGGTAAAAAGCAAATATAGCAAGAAATATAGCTGCCCAACCATAATTCTAAATTGCATTCCTGACCCAGGCCTTAAACAGCATGTTGAGTTTTTCGCCTAGTAAAAATGTAGTAACGATACCAAGTTGTTCCTTATGGGAACACTTAGACGTCTAGTTTTCAGAACTGAGGAGACAACTGGAAACTGCCACAGACGTGATCAATTTTAACGAGGGAAAAAATTGGAAGTTTAGAGAGGCGCTAGACACCAAAGGCGGGAATTAAATGGAAGTTGTGGTAAACGCGGTATATTACTGGGGCAAACCACAGCATGGAAGCTCTGGCCAATGTGACAGAAAACACAGGGTGGAAAAAGCCAGCGGGACATCGCTTTTCAAAGCTTATAATTGTCTGGTATCTTGCATGGCGCGGGGTCGCAGAACTAATGCCACTGAGTTGCTGGCCAACCGACTGCCCAAACGGACCCTCCAGGCTAGAGAATTCAAAAATATATTGTGCGCATACAAAGCTTGAGTCTAGTGACAGTTAAGCGATTAAAGCTCTTGTGTTTGCTTGGTAAGGCATTCAGGGAAGGAAAATATAAAATAACGGAATGATGTTACAACTTTCTTTCCTTACCTCCCATGGGGACGCGAGAGAAACGCGATCAAACGAAACTTCCCAACTTTTCCGAAGTTCCTGAGAGGAAAGACAACACAAATTCAATTAGTTACGTTGAGAAAATTTGTAGCTAAATCTGATTATGATCTGTGTAAAGACGTGGTTAGGAACTCAAATATGTGTGCTTGATGGTCTCTTCGTCCGTCCGCTTGTTTAGCTCTGTCTGTCTGACTGTCAACCTGTCCGTCCGTCCCTTCCCCTCGATGTCTTTTTGTCTGTCGGTCCATCCTTATGTCTATCCTTCTAATCTGCTGTCTGTTTGACGTCTGTTTGAATGTCCGTCTGTCTGTCTCTCTTTCTGTCTGTCAGCTTGGTTGCTTGCTTGCATACCTACATAGTTAAATTTTGACTCGTAAAACATGTACCTCGTATTCGTCGCTGCACTCAACATCGTTAATGTTTTCTGCCATTGCAATATTGTTTATTCCGCTTTCGTCATCATCAGTTTTCGTTTGTTTTCGAAAGACTCTTGGACTCCACAAAGCGGCCTGGAAACGCGACATTACGGAATCATCATCAAAAGTTTCTGCGGTCGTGCCTTTGGTTTTAGGAAGAAGACAATGACATAACAGGCCTGTTGTCAAGCAGAAGCATCCCATCACGCCTAGCGGTACTACAGGATGCGTAATATTTTGAAGCATCATGACGAGCGGTGACAATGCCTCTCCTAAATACCCTATACTAATAATCAGTCCAAAGGCGGAGCACCTGTGTCAAAGAAATAAAAGAACGTTTTCAGTCTTGTTCGATAAGCTGTTTTGATAGTATGTCCAGTTTTTGGCTCACCGTCGTTACGATGAGAAGGGTAAAGTCCGCTTCAAATTATCTTTTTATTTAATTAATATTCACCCTGTAATTATACAGACCACCTTGGTATTTAGCAGTTAATCGGTTATTCGTCTGTCAAGGTCCCGGAAATTGAAAACCTTGATGACGACGCTTCTATCAATCAGTCAATAAATCGATCGATCGATCAATCAATCCATCAATTAATCAAATCAGTCAAACAGTCAATAAATGAAAAATTAATTGGATTAATAGGAATTTTCAGTGGTACATCCCACGAACAGGCTCCTCCTCCACTGTCTCCAGATCGAATTGGAATTTTGGTTTTTGTGGAGAAAAACCATAGAACCCGGATAAAATTCCCCGGAGCAAGGACGAGAAGCGACAATATACTCAACCCACTCAAGTTATGGCGCCGGGTCCAGGATTCGAACACGGGCCACATTGGTGGGAGGCGAGAACTCTCACCTCTGCGCCACCCCTACTCCCTCACGATACGGGGAAAAACAAAGACTAAGTCAACAGGTTGTCTGATATTTGTCCGGGGACATGATCTGGCCCGTTTCTCGAAAGCCCCGGAAACATTTCGGGCCCGCAAAGCCATTTTTAGTTAATCTTTATCTAAAAACAGAGAGGTGTTTACGCCTGAACCTCTGTTGATATTAAGAATATGTGAATAAAACAGCTCTGAGATCTTGCTACGGCTTTCCGGGTGCGAAAACATTTCGGGACCTTCGAGAAACGGGCCCTGCTTCGAGAAGCCAACAGTTTTCCGAGAGGGAAGCTTGAGGAAAACAGCTAGCTTCGAGACACACATTATGTTCGCGGACAAATATAAGATAACAATATAATCCAATGAATTATAAATATTTTACCTGACAATCGTTGGAAAGAGTTCAATGGTATATAAAATAAGTGACGCTTGGGAAGCCTGGATGCAGACACGACCAGTTAATTGAATCACTACTACCACCGCAGCACGCTCTGAAGACAAAGAGATTAAAAATAATAAAACTTCTATTCAAAGTCACTTTGAATTAGTAATAATGCTCCTCGATATACTGAGCCTGGTTTGTCTTGCGATTCACAATACCTTATCTACATGTTACAGGGGACCGCGGAGACCATTCTAAAGTGGTAGGACTAAAAAATCTGGCCACTACAAACAAACATTTAGGTCAGTGTTTCGCCATTTATCTTGCATTTGCGCGCTATCTGGAACCCTAGAAAATAAATTCCGGCAATAAAAACGGTAGGGCTGTAACCCTGCCAGCTCCTCCCCCTCCGCGTTCCCTGTGTCATTAAACCCATCAGTACCCAACGATTGTAGCCTGACACTGACAAATGAATAATTAACTTAGGAAGATATGAATGTGGGCATCAAATATTTTTAACAAAAAAGAATACGGCATGAAGCGATATTCCAATGAGTTCTAACAGCCACCTTAATTTCAAAAACGGTAAGTAGCCGTTGTAAAAAGCTTAACCTCTATTTTTACGCAAACCGTCCTCAAATACCTGCTTTTATAAATCCATTAGAGGAGACTGAGAATATCAAACAGAAAGCGCCTGCGAACATCATGGAGATGACAGTGCTGACTCGGCGTCCGGTCCTGGAAGAGAAAATGTCTTTATAAAAATAAAAACATCTACAGCTAAGCTATTCATTCCTAATAAACAATTTTAAATATTGATAAGTTAACAAAGATGGTGAATTTTAAGCTCGGTAATGAAATGTGAAGGTGAATTAATCAACATGACACGAGCGTGGGACAAAGAAAAATTCTGAG